AACGTTTGTATTGAACTTCATCGAAATGGCTTAAACGGCTAAGCATCTGGGATTTTATTTCCGTCGTCGTTTGGCTCATTTACATCTACAGAAATGTGCGTCTTCAGCAGCGGGAAGCAAGCTCAGAAATCATTAAGCTTACATAGCTTGTTGTCTGTTGGCCCTGACGTTGTAAAGCTAAATATATCAAAGGTAGGCTTTCCTGAGTTTGTAGAAATTTGGTAGAGACTACCATTCCTGTAATTAATGTAAGATTGTATATGCACACATTTCGTGACTAATGTATTAGTCCATTCCAAAACTGGACAGTACAAAATGCAAACTGCAGACGGACTGAAGACCATTGTTTTCAGGGTTAGAAAAGAGTCAATAGGACTATTGTTGTCTCGTTCTGATTGAATGGTGAAAACAATGGTCTGCAGCTGTCTGTAGTCTGTATTTTGTACTCAATATTTGTGTCAATATTTTGACCGCTATGTCAACCGAGTGTTGGTTGATATGTCAGTCGCTATTTCGACCAAGGGGTGCATAAATTATGCAAGATCCTAATTTCCAGAGAGGTCTGTTCGTTTCATTTAACTGGTAGACTAACTGCCAAACTGACCAATTGGTTGACTGATTGACTGACTGCCTAACTGTCTGACTAACTGACTGACTGACTGATTGACTGACTTAATTAATAACTGACCCACTGACTGAGTGACTGTTTGACCAACAGGCTGACTTGTTGACTTACCAACTGACTGATTAATTAACTGACTCATTGACAGACTTTATGGTTGACTTGTTGACTGACTGAATGATTTGCTGACTTACTGGCTGACTGATTGACTGACTCGCTGGTTAAAGCAATGTATGACTCATTGACATAGGTTTTACATAGCTTTGTGACATAGCATGTGCATAGATTCTACATAGTGTCCGATTTTCTACAGGGGTTACTAATAGACCTTTTTACCGATACCGCGACCATATTGAATTAATTCGATTTAAAGAGTATTACAGGATGCCCAGGGGGCATGAGCACATTTCTTTTGTATTTGCGAACGCTTTTTTCTTAAAGTTTTCTTAGAATGAGATTGTAATAAGAAAAAAGATTCTTGTGCCCTGTTTGGATGTAATAATGATCGCCTTTTTCCCGAGAAATATACAGTGAAAGACCACATTTCTAATAGAGCGGTTTTCGCTTGACTGTCGTAAAACCAAAACCAAAGTAAATACACTAGCCAACCAAAGGGCGTAGTAAAACCAAAACGAAACCAATTCCTCAATTACTTTCGACAGTCAAGTGAAAACTGCTCTAGTAAACTCGAAAAAGGCAATCATTGTTACATCCAAACACGGCACAAGGATCTTTTTTCCCATTACAATCTTATTCTAAGAAAACTTTAAGAAAAAATGTCCTGAAAAGCGCTCGAAAATACAAACGAAATGTACTCATGCCCCCTGGGCATCCTATAATACTCCTTAAATCAAATTAATTCAATATGGCCCCCGTATCGGTAAAAAGGTCTATTGACTCACTTACAGCTTACTGACCAACCAACTGACTGACTTATTTATGGACAGGCTGCTTGCTGACTGACTGACTCCATGACTAACTAACTGACTGGCTGACTTGCTTAGTGACTGTCTCATTGACTGACCAAATGGACCGCTAGAGGATCAATATACGAGGGTAATCGTTTAATATGCCGATTCAGGAAAAAACCGGAAGTTGCATGGAAGCATGGCCTAAGGGCCGTCATACTCAAAATGGCGACGTAACAACAAGATTCTTGTAAGCAAAAGAAGACAAGTGCTGCAGCCATGCAACATAATTGATGTGAAAATCGGCCCGATCTAACCTATATACCAAAAAAATTTACATCAGATCCTGAATCAAGTAGAAGATGGGAAAGGGGACTATTGTTCTTTAGAGCATTTCGTACCTAACGATTGCTGAATTAGTCTCACCGGACATTTTAATAGAAAGGTCAACTTAAAAACTTAACTCTGCTCCACAGAATGTCACTGATAACACATAACGCAAAAGAATATCAAAGTATGACTGCACAATAAATGTCACAAATCTACCTAAGCAGTCCCTAGGGGATTTTCTGTCTTTATGTCATCCTAACCATTTCGTACTTGCGGGTGGAAACAATGGAAACGTCATCATTACCTACCGATTCCTTGCGGCCCCTGTTCAAGCAAATTAAGATTTTTTCTGGCATACTGCCTGTATATTTCAACTGTAAGTACTTTCCTTAATATATGCGTGAGTTACTAGAGTACCTCCTCGCCTTCTGGGCAAAATCCCTGCGGGGGCAATCACACACAATTAATAGTTAGTGTACAAACATTAAATTTGTTACAGGTTGTGATATGATGGATTATAATAAGGGATTCGGCACATGTAGGATCAGAGTGAATAAAAGACATGTGCTAACAATGACCCAAACCGACAAAAACTAACTTAACTTGAAGTCATAACGCAGGCAAAAAAGTTCTAAAGGTGTCCTAATTTCTCTTTCCACGATGCCATAATAAAAGGTACCTGTTGCTGAAACAATATTCCTTGTTGCTCCCCCGTACTACAAAATCACACCAATTTCTCACTGCAACAATTGCTTGTTGTTGAATTTGGTAGTAATAAAGGTGGCTCTTGTTAATGATGCCATCTTTGTTACCAATCCCTTTTCCTGCCATCTTTAGATTTTCATTTTCTTTAAATTTTATGCTCTTCACTTCAACCAGCCATAGGGGGTTCTCATAGCTTTTGCACACTCTTACTGTGACTTAAAACATCTTTAATAATTTTTGTAAGGAGAAGTATTAGCTTTATGTGGTCGGGCCACTGTGACATGATCAAACCCCTTTTGGTTGTCAAGACAGACATCTGGTATTAGATTAATTTTTTAAATTTCCTTTTCTTCATTGAATAGTTCTTTCTTTATTGCTGAATATCTGTCACATATTTAATCCATGCTGAAGGGCTGATCTAATCAAATGATTTATCTTCAAGTTCAGGTCAATTACATTATCTGTATTGTTGACTGTGTTCAATTGGCTCAGTGAGACAAGACTGTATTTTTTTAGTCACACGAGATCTTGAGACTGATTTGTGGTTGCATCAGCCACTGTCTGTATTGTCGGTTGTGTTTGTTGAATTGACTTGAGACACTGTTTTATTTGTTAAACATGGATTTGGTTGGAGAACAGAAGTATATGTACTATTGTATGGAGAAGAAACAGATGTGAGTAAAACCTTTCATTTGCATTTGTTGAGCAGATCCTTTAGTGGCAATTTCAATAGGGAATTCACATGTACTATATCAGAAGCATTGGGATTCATCTTTTGAAAGGAAACACCTTTGTTGACTCTGACAATGTTCACTTTGAGTTTTTCAACAGCCTAGGGGTCTAACTTTCTCAATTTCAAAGGACGGGGATCATAAAAACTAGACAACAAGCCCCTCCTCTTATGACCTGGTGTATCTGCATGATGCCTTGGCTTGATAGGCTTTAAGGCCATGATTGGCTCATGTTTCAATGTTTG